TGGCGCCACCCCTGCACGTTGGCCCCACGTATGTATACTGTACTAACGTTGGTTAGACGTTTGCATATTTATTGGGCCAACGTGGGTTCAGCTTCTTGGAAAGACGTTAACCCAACTGGCTAGACTAACGTTGACCCGACGTAAAGCAAAGTTTACACACATTTTGAGAAAAATGTCGTCTTAACTACTGTACTGGTTGGAGCAACGTCGATCCAAAATTTGTTCTAGCGCCGACTTCTTCAATATACCGGCACAAATGAAGGTTGATAGGTTGAGGTGCATTGTAATATAGCTCACGATTTTTTCACCTCGTAGTTTTCCTGCTGAATCTTACATTATGGTCAGGCATCATGAGAATACTGATTATGTTTTGACAAAAACATTATTTTCTTCGCGTGTCAACCTGCAGAGTATTGTAATCCGTAGGTCCCAATAGAACACAAAACATGATGCTCTCTACACCTGGCACAATATGCCATAAAACAGTATAGGCCTATATTAGCGCACCATGCCGGCATGTTTTCTTTTTTTCACATTATGTATACAACAATGAAAAACCATGTTGGTATGGTGTGATAATATTCATTCATTCATTCATTTATTCGGTCAAAATCAACATACAAATCATGGAAACTACATAAAATTGATAAAAAGATAAAAAAAAAAAACAGACAGAGTCGCAAGATTTGAAATCTTTTAAAGGGTTTAACAACTTGTATATACACCGTAAAAAACTTTGGAGTAAAAGAAAAATACTTAAAAACAACAATTAAAAAGTACCGTTAGTATTATTGAAACGGGAAAAAGTAAAAAAAAAAAAAAATAGTTGATTTTCAACAGGATAGCCGAAGAAACCCAATCACACAGGTTTATTTCCGTTAGAATTCTGAAAGCAAAGACAAGAGAAAAAATATATAATTTATTATATTCATGAATCCGAAAGAGAGTGAAGCACCGTCATGCCTCTTCCAGATTTGATAAGTTTTTAATGAGTTTTCTAAATAGACTACGCTTATGGCATTCTTTATTTCACTTTGTAATCTGTTCCACTCTTGAATAG